GGTATAACTAAATACCATAAAAGATTATGTCATCTTATCACACACAACACTGTATAATCTGGGAAATAGATTTAAAAGGCTGTTAATAAATGTTGGATACTAATTTATCTATAGCAGTGTTTCTCAACCTATTGGTTGCAACCCCTTTTGCAATCCTCTATCTCCAGAAATATTTACATTATAATTTATAATAGCATCAAAATTACAATTATGAAGTAGCAATAGAAATAATTTTGTGGTTCGGGTGTCACTGCAACATGAAGAACTGGATTAAATGGCCGCAGCATTTGAGAACCACCTATCAATAGTATTTTTTCCCTTTGTGTGAAAGCAATAGACATCAACTTTCCTTGCAGAATAAATGTTGAAAGAGTGTCATTTGAGAATCCGTGGAATGAACACACTTGTACTGATCACTTAAATTGGACCAAAAAGTGAAACTTCTCTGAAGAAATATCAATTGACATATAAGTCCTTGCTCAGTTCTGAAAGACAACCTTACAAAGCCAGAAAACACGTTGAGTTCCATGTGACTGGGTGGAGAGCTATTTCCAGAGGATGGAAAGATCATTCTTCAAAATCATTTTCTGAAATGATTGTGCCTCCCTTGATGGATCACATCAAGTTATTCTTTGAGGCTTTAAAACTAAGTTAGAACTTATCAGAAAAACGGATCTTTATAAAAGTCGTCTCTGTTGTTGGTGATTCTTGCAAAGATTTCCCTCTCCTGCCACCCCAAGCTCAGATGAGCAAGTTTTATCTTTTTGCAGATACTGGCTGCTATCACTCCCATCTCCTCTCTCAAGAGTCAGTTTTCAAGCTCCTAGACATAAGGCCACTCCTCCTTCCCTCCCACTTTACCTCCCAAAGGAAGAAAAATCTCTTTCAAAGAACTTGTGGAAAGTGGCAGCTTCCCAGCTCTCAGTCACTGAACTCAGTTCCTCAATGATATAGTGCATCTGCCACAAAGCATTGTGTCTGGGAGCGTATGAGGTTTTCTTAAGAACTGGTTGGTTTCCTCCCTTCCAAGGTGTGGGTTTTCTCTAGTGGGCTGCTCCTGACTGAGCAGGCTGGCTGACTTCGCCAAGGGCGTGTGCACCAGCTATGTGCTGAAGCGTAAGAAAAATCCCAGCACTTCTGGGAAGAAATACCTAAAACTTGGAAACTTTTGAACAAAAACACTCTGCCAAAGACTAGCTTAAGAAAAAAAAAAAAAGGTTAGGTCAAGCTGTCACATTGTAAGAAGTGACAGACCATTTGCCCAGTGCTCTGGAATAGACTGTCTTGGAGAAACTGCTCAGTGTCAAAGTTTTGGTTGATGTCTGCGCTGTCTGCGTCCTAAATCGCAATTCAGGTTAAGACTTTGAATAATAATCAGACCTCAAGATCAGAGAGTAGCGGGTTGGGATGTGGTGACAATGAAGAGGATGCTCAAACCAACCAAAGCCTAAAGGGTGAGTGTGGGAGACCAACCAGGGCAGAAATGAAGCCTGTTTGTAGTTTGCACATTCTGAGGACTGGGCACAGAGAAGCAGAGGCAGCCAGAAGAGGGCCTGCTGAAGAAATGTCTTAGGGAGAGCTGTGGCTCCGGGCCTCGCTCCGAAGGCCTCACCCACTTGGGCATCTCCTTGGCACTCTCTCAGATACAGCTAGCTGTATGAGACAAAGGTGCCTCATTTCCATATGGCTGAGCACTGGAGTGTGTCCTCAGGTGCCAGGTCTGGGGAAAAGCCTGGGGGGCAGGGGCCAGCAGTGGTGGGCTCTGTGCCCAACACAGCAGGCTGCAGTTCTCTATCTTGACCTGGGCGAAGAAGGGGGGTGAATTTCTGTAGCATGGCATACCCCTGAAAAACATGCCACCTGCACCCTCTCAAGAAGCCAAATTGTTTCTCAAGATGTGAGGTGAATAAAACCTTGGAGACCCAAGACAAGAAACTCAAATTTCTCTGCCCACCGGCCAGTAGCCTTTCTCCTCACTACACCCACGTGGCCCTTCAGCTTTGGGATAGCGACCAAGGGTCAGCATCCCAGCGATTTCCCTAGCAGCTACCCAGAGTGCACAACCTGCCCAAAGTCTGGCCTGGAAGTAGTAAAGGGATGCTCCTGGGTGCAGCTGCAAAGTTTTCCTGAATACTGTAAAAAGTCATGGTGGCTATGGCTGAAATTGTAAGAGCTCACACCCCCCCCCCCAGACCCTCCTGAGCCTCATCAGACCTTCCAGAGAGCTGTCACTCTATGGTTGGGGGCCAGGGAGAGAAAAGGCCACAGGGAAAGCAGAAGTTGATAGACAGGGAAAGGACACCCTGAGGTGATAGGAAGAGGAAGTGGAAGGGTCTATCTGCTTGGAACAGAAAGAACACCACAGAGCTTATGGGGGTGAATATTCTCACCATCAGTTGAGGGGAAGACAAGCTAACTTGGCCTCAAGCCAGCTTCAGGGTTGCCATGGCACCAAGCAGAAGCATCAGAAGCCTGGCAGTCCCAAGCCTTTCTCCCAGATAAACTGTCTAGAGTCACTCTAGGCTGCTTCCCAGGAGGGACCTGAAGCAAGACTTTGGCTTCCACCTACACCCAGATGTCCACCACTGGCCAAAGACAGCTGCCCAAAAACCAATTCCAACCCTTTCCTCCCAGGGCTAGAGACCAGAGAGGGCTGAACTTCAGAGCAAAGGTTTAAATTAGACATTTCCAAAAGGTAGTTATAGGCATTTAACTAACCATCCAATCCACTTGGTACGTTTTTACCCCAGCAGAAAATAAAACTCCCGCCACTGCATCAAAATAGGCTCAACAGGGAAATGTTCCGATGATCACAACTGTATACAATCCTCCTTGACAAGTCAGGTCAGATTTAGAGAAAATGTATCTCCAGGTGGAAGACATTTGATGCTAATGTATTAAAAAAAATCATCTACAAAGTAGGATGTTGATCTTGGGTGTCAAGGGCTGGTATGGAGACCTTTGCCTAGTGCCCTGGTACTTAAGGACATTCTTAGAGCTTGTGTAGGAAAATGTGTGTGTGTGTGTGAGAGAGAGAGAGAGAGAGAGAGAGAGAGAGAGAGAGAGCGAGCACTCTTTTGGAAAGCTGCTACACTGTCACAGATGCCAAGATTTTTAATATGAAGATATGAAATGATCAGCAAATGTAACAATCTATTGATTCAGCAAATACTGTGCTTCAAGACCAGAGTGGCAATAAGTAAATCTTGAGAGTGTTAGTGGCAGTTTTCAGGCACCAATTATCCACCCCCACAATCATGTACATTCCTCCCAATGTATATTCATTCACAAACACACAGGAGAAGGTACGCAAGATCACCTAAGTACTTTGAATTACTCAAAATAATGGGGGAGGCATATTCCATGGTAGAGCACTTCCCATGTTAGTGGCCAAATTGTTATGGTGCACATACCATACATGCCTTCACACACAGTTCCCAGAAATACAGTGACTTCCTTAATCCTGTCTCAAAAAAAAAAAAAAAAAAAAATCAAGCACTCCTGTGGATGCTTGTTGCTAAGAGCAACATGCTTAAGTACCATTTAAAGACCGAGAAAAGCAGGAAAATACTCCAGCCAGAATCTAGCTATACTATATCATCTCTTGTTGTTACCAGTCTTCTTGGCTGTATCTGATATATGGGGAGGGGCTACCTTTTCAAATATATGTAAAAGCATTCATACTTTATTTCCACAAAACTTGAGGAGGACAGTTAACATTATCAGTGGAGAAAGCTCACTTGAGAAAAAAACTAAGAGATGCTGCTTAGGGTTACAGAAGGGGCAGTCAACCTCTGCTATAAATCAGACAGAATAATTTAAAGTGTCTACTTTTGTTTCAAAAACACATACTCTGTGTTTTATGTTTCCCACTCTCCCTGGCTTAAACACCCTTAGAACTGACAGTGGAAGCTTTTTCTCTGTTGACTCTCCCCTTTTTTGCAAAGCCTTTCCTTAGGGAAGTCCCCCTGTTGAGTTCTGCTCTTACTAAAAACATGTTGGTCATCCTGAGCATTTCCTACACTTCATTTCCTTCAAGCAAACCTCCTGACCAGGGAATGTACTGGAAGCCCACGTTTAGATTTTACTTCAAGAGAGAAAGAAGCCTGCATTCTTGGGAAAGCTATAAATCCTTCTGAAATGTGACTATCTAGGGTCTTTTATCCATGTCAGAGTGAAACAAAGATGCACTTAGACCCACACACTCAACTCCCCTCCTCCTTCTGCCACCAGTTACTAGGTTCCTTATTTATTAGGTCCGGACTCTGTGCGGGGCGGGGGGGTGGGGGGAGTTGGGAAGGGGGGGGAATGTGAAAGAACTCGGCAAGTTAAAAAAGCAAAACAAACAAGAAGCCTGTCATGATTGCGCTATTTCTCTGCAGCGAGCCACATCTCTCCATTATTAAAGTCTGAAATTATACAGCAATATTTCTTAAAGCTCTGCACATCAGAAAGACAATCGGAGGACAGAAAAAAAAGATTTAATTAACTAGTAAGCTTCTCTTATAAAAGAAAGAAAAAGGGCTAGCGCCTTTGGTTTTGCAAGTGAGGACCTAGATAGGTCCGGGCAGAAGCGGACAGACGCAACTCACGGAAGAGTTACCAGACCTTAACTCAGCGGCAGCACCAGCTGCAGCTTCGCCGGCCCTAGCGCTCACTCTGGCTCAGACCTCGCCAGCCAGCCGGCTGAAAGGTTCCCAGCGAGAGCAGAGCAGCCTAGGCTGGCCGTGCTCGCATCCCCGCTGTCCCCGTGGCGGGCTACGGCGAGGCGATGCATCCGCTGGTAGTACCACGCACTAGCACCTCCTTCACCCTTCCGGCGCCCAAAATAAAATGAAGATAAATAGAGAGGGTAAATGAAAGCAAGGGGCGGTCTTTAAAACCCGGGAGGAAGCAGGTCTGGGAGCGGCAAGCCCACGCGAGGCACAGCGACTGCCTGCTTACATCCGGCGCCTCGGAGAAGCCTACACCAGACGATGCTGAGATGCGGAGAATCTTACCGAATCTTAACACATGCGTGGTTCCTTGCGAGTATCCGATCCACAGGAAGCAGAGCAGGACTTTAATGGAGCGACTGAAGACTAGATTACTTAGAACCGGGGAAATAATCTTCATGATGTTTCCGTGCCTGCGCACGCGGCACCCACTTCCCCGATGTAGCGTTAGGCTCCGGGCTTGGACGAGGAGGAGGATGCGTGGAGTAGTCACCGCAGACACAATCACGGCATGGTCACAGAGAGAGGAAGGAGTCTCCGCTTCCCAAACCCATTAGCAGTCGCTGCATGTTCCTCACTTACTGCGCCAAGGAGCAAGCTTCCACTGCAAGGGATGGTGGGACATCCATGCTAGTCCGGGAGCATCCGGGAAGAATCTAGCAGGCACAGTGTCCAGCCGCGAGAGCCTGGGAGAGTACAAGAAGAAAATCAATAGGAAGTCCAGCCCTGGAAGGACTAGTTGCCGAAAGCCAGCCTCAGTCTCAATACAATGGGCGCTTTGCTCGCAGGGGTTTCACCAGGTCCTTACTCTGCTGCACAGCTTCTGACGTTAGGCCAAGATAAAGTGAGAAAAACTGACAAAGCTGCTTCCTGCCACAGAGCTTCCCAATATATATTATGCAACCGTTCTGATAGCCCGCCTTAAGCAGAAAAAAAAAAAAAAAAAAAAGGATTTATTTACATGATGCGAAGAAAAAAAAAATGCTTTGATTTTCAGTAAGACCCTGTAGAGAGTGCCTGATGTATGCAAACAGACTTCTTACAATCAGCTGATGAATTTTAATAATTGACTAGCTAAGTCAAAGTCACTTTGTCTATCTAGGGGTTGTATTTTAAAAAAGAAAACGCTCTAAAGCAGGGCTGCGCTGTCAGTCCAACTTGTTGTTAGACTAAGGGCGTCTTATACTTTTTAAGTTAGAGTGAAAAGAAATGAACACGCAGTGGAATGCAATTGGAGAGCTGAATATGGTCTTTAAAAGCTTGAGTGGCACATTTATTGGTTAGTTAAGAGAAATGTCTCTAGATGGATTTTTGAAAGGGAATGAGGGAATCATTTCCCCACCCATTTGTCTCATCTGAGACAATCTTATACAAAAAGCCAATGGTGTTTAAGCTCCAGCAGCTTATCCCAGAGGTTTTGTGCACATGTTTTCTTTTGTAGTTATTTTGTCTTTAAAAAATAGAATACCAAATCATATTTGCTTTGCCCAAACAAAATCTTGTCATGGGTTATTTTCTGATGGGAATTTATAAACTCGTCTCCTCTATTGACTTTCAGAAGTAGAAATTGACTCCAGTGAAGAATATGGAAATGCACATTTCTTCTCATGTGAAACATTTTTTTTGTTGAAATAGCAAAATACTGCCCAAGGATTGCAGTTATCCCCAAGTCCACTACTGCCGTTTACAACAGTAGGAAAAGATGATGAGAAAAGCAACGACTGCACCATTGCTGACATCTTTACCTTATCAAGAAGTGAAAAGGACAAACTGTTGAACTTGTGTTTTACTCTTAATCTTTGTCCATTAACATCAAATAGGGCACAAGCTACATCATGTTGAAGACTACCTAATTTTAAAGGAATGGCATGAGAACTATTTAAGTTCTTGTATTACTATGATTATATTTTTTTCTAAATAGCAAAAAGAAACCACAAGGTATTCATCCCATCAAAGTGAGTTTTTTACTATCTATATTTTCTTAGCACTACAAAATGCTGATTGAAAAATTCTGCGTTTTCAAATTCACTAGGAGACATTGTTTTTTTTTTTTTTTAAGATGGAGGAATAACTGCAGTGTCAAAAATAAGTATCATGAAAAGCTAGTTCTGCAATCTAGCAGGCAATCCTGTCAAACAATTCCACTATTTGAACACTTTAAAAGTGCCTAGTGCTGAAACTAAGGGTATCTAGCGACTCCTTCAGTCCATGTTTGAAACATCACTTATAAAATATGTGAAAGCCCAGCATGTCCTGTCTTGTATTTGCTGTCTCATTTATTCTTCTTCATTCCAGTAGAGATTAATAGCCACAGCCAGGGGAAAATACATAGTCTTGTTTGTTTTCATTTCCCAACATAATTGATACCTACTACCTAAAAATAGCATGTTCTGTTGTGACTAATCAAATTTCTGCAATTTTGCAGTGTAGCTGGCATTTCATGGAAACAGAGTAAACAGACTGTACCACAATTTCTTCTTTACGCATTCTTTTAACATAACAGTATTTGTCATAGCATTTGTTGTCTGCCTACTTACAACTGGCATTCCCAGATACTTATGTTTCATCATTGTTAGATATCTAGTGGGAAACTGAAAGAAAAGCTTTGAGTTCATGAAATTCACACAGAATAAACTGTAAAAAGGTTTAACATAACATTTCTTTACTATTAAGTGGTCTCCAAAAAAGAAAAAACACCAACTTTGCACATACCTTAAATTGGGTTTATTTACATCTATCAACTAAGTTAAAAAGCTTTAACATAACAGATAGCAACTCCACCTGCTCAGCAGAACTTCTGCCATAACTGAGACAAACGTTTTTCAGGACCTCGGACAGCGCCTCGGACGTGTCTATTCTCAGTTATTGAAAATAGTAAGAAGAATGGATAATAACACCATTTGAAGTGACACTTTGCCTATTTCTATTACAGAGTTAAATGCTTTGAACCACTGCAGAACACATAACCAAGAGATCGATTTTGTGAATTGTGTAGTGTGTTATTCAATGTGAGGAATGAGTTGCTTAAAGCATCTGAGACATACCAAGAGCAATCTTTTTCCAGTGCATACTACCACAAAAGGCACTAAGACTTACTGTGATATCCCCTTATGGTAACTAAAGGACTCATTTCTTTGTACAAAAAAAATAGCATGAAAAAACTCTGGATGCTGAAACATGTTGTCAATATTCAGTGGCTTAAGACATTTCTGAAATGTACAATTAGTTATCACTTTTAATCACCCACCTCCAGATTTCCATCTGTTAGGAGGGAAAAGAGACTAATGTCATCTTTTCTATTAAGCTTCACTCTTCAGATCAACAGCAACAACTCACTAAATTTACCTTTCACACACACACACACACACACACACACACAAATGATCTGCTAATATCTTATTTATTACATGGATGTTTTGAAGTTAATGCAAGTATCTCCCCAATACTGACACTATAACCATAGTTCTGGGGATTAATAGTTATTAATCAGTATTTTACTGATCACATTTAATTATCTTAAAATTGTGTCAGTTAATAATTGCTCATTTCTTAATATAAAAAAACATTTTATTTAGGCCTTAAGTGAACAGTTATATGTAAAAATAGTGGAAAATGTGTGCATTGTCCTATAGACTCATTTGCTTTGCAGTTATTTCCACCACATGGCAGTCTTTATTGCTAGAAGCTAAAGCTCTGAGGGTTCCAAGGTCAAAGCAGAGATGAAAAGCTGCAAGCACACACATATATGCTCACACAGAGAGAAGCTATGCCTAGAAGACAGCCTTAAAAAATATCAAAGAGGGCTAATAGTAAGAACTACCAAGCTTACGGTGGATAATGAAGGAAGAAAATGTATATCACAGTCATGCAAAGCTTGTTTCTACAACAACGACGACGCCTGCAATGACAAAAGACATTAGCTTCATCTTTCACTGCATTTTTGTATTACCTGACACTAATGACCTCTTAGTCTTGGGCACTATTACTTGAGAAGCAATTTTGGTTTCCTAGTCTCCTGGTGAAAATGAATCTTATTCTAGTTAGCTGCCACCTGCTGGGGCATGAACAGACATGTAATAATCCTTATAGGAGAACATTTAAAAGACAATTCCTATACCTTTCACTAGAAACAGCAAAGGTATATTCTAGAACAATCTGAATTTTAAAGCCATCCCAAAGGCCCTTTAAATGCCATATGTGGAGAGCATTTAAATATTCTCACACAAGTAAGAGGCTTCCACCTGATCTCTCACTGTTTTCCTGCTGTTCTGGGACATTTTAGAAACCTCGTGTTATAGTAACACCTAAGGCATTAGTCCATGTAAGTGGCCTATTGTGTTGAAGCTTAGCTAAAATAAACAGCCTGCTCACTTATGACATTAAAGGGGCAACAGAATAAAGTCTAAGACAGAGATCAGTCGGAACTACACTGTTGCATGCTCGGTTCATCCCATGAACACTGTGTCATTCCTTAGGATTCTAAACACATTATCAACTGCTCTGTTAACATTCTGCTGTGCTGGTGGCTGATGGTATTTTTAATTTTAATTACTATTGAGATGCTGAGAATGTATCTTGCTTAAGAAATCGAAGCAAAGAGATTTATGTCTGTTGAGATCCTTTTAAAGAAATCCAGCATGTACAGTCTTCAGTGGATTCAAATTTAAAATTAAAAAAAAAAAAGTGTTTTAGCCTTTAGTCATTACTGTCATACCTTTCCTGGTGCATTTTAATTCTTTAACTCCTAAGTTTCTAAGGAAACTGGAAGTTGACAAGCTGACTTGATTATCGCAGGAATGTATTCTGCAAAGTTACAAAGTAAGGAACTAAAACAAGTCCAAATTAAGATACAATTGCATTTCTTCCAGAAATTTAACTGCAGACTTGTTCGAATGATCAATCATATCTTGTGAAAATTTTAAAAAAAAATCTATTTGATGATTTTGATGACAGAATACTTACAATATGAAGATGAAGAAATGGTGAAAAAAGATGATAGAAGGTAATCTGTTCGTTTCCTTACCAGAGGGTAGTTTCTAATATTCTCCAACCCCTAAATCCAAAATCATTATCTTAAAAGCTCCAGTCCTATTTGATTTTCTGTCTCTGACTCTCTCTGTGTCTGTCTCTCTGTGTGTGTCCATCTCTCTGCTGCTACACACACACACACACACACACACACACACACACACACACACACCTTCCTATCCCCCTGAAGATAAAAATACGAGGGAGTGAGGTTGGTTAAAAGTTCTGAACCTTTACGATCCGCTTCGGTGATGCAGTCTGTCCTTTACCCTGTGGGATGCCCTGAGAGTTTTTTTTTCTTTTTTTTTTTCTTTTTTTTTTTTTTTCAGAAGCTTTTAATACTGTCCTCAGTTAAAATAATCTCAATTTTCTCAGCCCAGAGCTATGGATCAGGAAGATAGTGAAATAGGTGGGCGTAAGAGGAATGAGGAGTTGTTATGACACAAAGATATACAGCTTCTTGCGTCTCTTCGCCTTGCGCGTGGGTCCCGGTAGCTGAGGCCACTTCTTGACAGATCCACTTATTTAAATATTTTACGTGGAGAACACCAGCGCAGCAGCCAAATGAGCCGCTTGCTTCCTTGCCGGGGACTGGCTCCAGCACATGGGACAAAGCCCTCCAAGCAACCGCATCCAGCAGGTGCCTGGAGCGCACGGGTTCCGCCGCGCTGCTGTCCGCATCCTCCTTTCCCTTCCACGACCAGCGCTCCTCGCTGGTCCACGGCTCCTCCGGACCTAGAGCGAACACCCTAAGAATGAGCTCCGGGAAGGATCGCCGGCGAGTGCCTACCTGGAGCTGGGGTGGAGAGGACGGAGAGGGACTGGAGTAGTCCTCTCCCTGTAGCGGCGGGAGGAGATCCAGCGGGAAGTCCTCGGCTCCCAGCCTCAGCTACGCAGCCGCCGGCGCGAGCGCAAGTGACGGCGGCGGAGGAGACCGCGACCCGCGGAGCCGCAACAGAGGCGCTGGAGACAGACACGCCTCCTGGCGGGGGTTCCTCGCCTCTTTGCTTTAAAGGAGCCGCGCTTCTTTCCTGATGCTGGCACTAGCAACCCGGCGCCGAGGCCCACCCGCTAGCAGAGTGCACTCTTTCGTTTCAAGAACTCTCACGAGTGAGAGAATTCCCATCTAGTGCTTCCCAAACCTCTGGCCCTGATTTCGACCCCTGCCAGCACGTCCACATCCAGGCATAGGGGAACTAGGACCGAGATGTTCAGAATGATAGTGGGTAAGGCGAACGGGCCAAGGAAATTGCCTGGCTCGGAGAAGCCAAGTCGGGTGTAAGGAGTCTTAGCTTGTCTGCTTCTGGGTGGCTGCTTTTATGCTGCTCCGAAACCATGGCAACAGCCAGAGACTTCTCTGTTGCTGGTATCTGAGGAGCAGCTGGTTGTCTCCAAAGTGACCCTTTTGGTTCAACTATTGCATTTCCCTTTGAGGTTTGTGAGGATCATCTTGATCTCTGCTCCTTCTACTTCTTTGCTGTTCTCACGGTAGATGGATTTCGGTTTTTCCTGGTCTTGGAACACAGAAAAGGACTTCCAGCATCAAGAAGCCGGCGAGCCTTCTCCGCACAGGCCTAGCCCCTTAATATCTGATGGTACTCTCCACACTAAGGTCCCTGGATTCTGAGGGGATTTGAGACCTGATAGGCATAGAACCTGGGGTCCTATCTGCCAGGTTAGGGGAAATAAGAGTATTCAAGTATTTACATATGAGATGCTGAGAGACGTTTTTAAGGGGTGCCCGAGTCCTAGGGTCTTCCCAAGGCTTGTTTCCAGGAGTCAAGTAGGGGAAGGAAGCAGAGAGCACACCAGCCTCCCACTACTTCTCTCGGGGAGCGATTAGCTTCTGCAAACAATCCCGGATTTGCGCTCCTTTGGGTCACAAAAGTCAACATCTATTCAATACCTTTGCTACTTTATCCTCAGCCCTGCAATATTAACTAGAGTGGAGACTTAGCTGTTTCCCCTGGAGTGCATTGATGAGCTACTATTCTCGAGGAGGTTTAAGAGAGGCCAAGCTCCAAAGGGTTCCGCATACCACCCCAGGAGACAAATTTCAAAGGGATTGTACTAGGAAGCAGGCCAGGTGGAATTCCTGGGCACAGTGGAGCCTGCGTGGGCTGGAGTCCCTGCGGAGCTCCAGTGTAATTCGGAAAAGTCTGGAAACAGAATCTCCTCGGGTTCTCCCTAGAGCAGACCAGTTGACTGCAGAACAGCATTTGTTCCTTTGCTGTGCTTTGTTTATTTATTTATTATTTATTTATTTATTGTTTGTCTGTTTGTTTTACCTGCAGCCATCGCTACTCCAGAAGAGTAAAATCTTTCCTGACCCTGTCTCTGTATCGATACACACCCTGGGCTAGTATCTGACTCAGTCCCACCCAAATCATCAATCTCTACTACTTTGTTTACCGTTCTAGGCTTTCTATACCACATCACAGCACATCACAGGCACAGGCATAGGCACCACGCGCTGTGCTTGGCTGTTTCTAGGAGACTTGGGCTTAAGTTAAGAAGAGCTGAGTTAGTGGCATGGAGAGTCCGTTTGTGGTTTAAAGATCCCGGGGATGGCTAGAAGGTTCCTGTAATTAAGCCTTGCTGTACGAAGAAGAAAATAAATAGTCAATGACTCTATTGTGCATCCTGGATCGGATAGCACAGACCCGTGACCAACTCCAGGCGCCTGGGCTCCAGCTGCTGTGACCTGCAGCCTAATAGGCCTCCAAGCACAGCGCAGTTCAGGCCAGGCTCAGGAAAAATTGCTCCATTCAGCCTTGTTGCATGATGAGAGCAATGAAGACTACTTGTCCACTAGCCAAAGACACTCTCCATGTCATCCCTTTCAGGGAGAGAGACAAAACACCTGCCAGAGGAGCCAATGGAAATCCCTAGGTGAAAGGTGTCCAGCCACGGTGGTGATGCTGAGAGTGAGGGATTGTGCCCTGCTTTGCTTTAAGTGTTTGACACACAGGCTGGTGCTGTGTGTCATGAAGGTGCTGAGCTCAACCTTCCCCACTGTTGTACTATGGCCCATATTGTGTCTGGAGAGAGAAGGTTTAAGGAATAATCTCTTTTAGTGGATGTGTGATTTTAGAATCTAGTTATGGATTTTTTTTTTTCCAAGACAAACATTGCACACTTACAAAGAGCTAGATAGCAGGCCTTACCAAGGCAAAGGAGATGGGAGAAATAGCTAAGAGAAAAGCAAAACAAATCAGAATTATACATGGTGTGGCAAATTTATTTCCTCAAGAGCAAAATGTTGTCTAGATTCTAATAAGAGATGGAGACTGACAAGTAAGCATTATACTGTGTACTTTCATTTAACCCGTCCAAACCCTCTCTAATGCTACAGAGATATTTCTAATAATTTATTTAAAGATCTATGAGCTAAACATCTAAGGCCCTACAGTCTGGCTGCCTTCTGAGGAAACCATAAACATCTATATCCTCAGTCACCCTAAGGGCATCTTCCATATTTGAATAGTTTGCTCAATCCATGAGTCTTCTACACAAAGCCCCCATACCCTTCTTTTACTACTTAAGGTGATGAATTCTTGGGACAAAAATAGCTCCTGAAGAGCCACCAGGGGCCACCTGGAACTCTCTACCTCACTGCTTTTGTTGTTGTTGTTGTTGTTGTTGCTTTCTGCTTTGCATTGTTTCAACCTGGCTCAGCTGACTGGGATGTAGAAATGAAAAGGGCTGTTTTAAATCATCCCATTCAGTGCTAACAGTTTACAAGTAGTAAGATACAAACTGACAGGAAGGAAGAGTGACTTGCTCAGAATGTGGCGGAAATAAGACTTCCTTCTAACTGTGCATGGCATCACTGGAGCATCTCCGGTCACTGAACTTAAATTTTTGACAAATATGAAGTTAGAATTAAAAGAAGCCTCAATGGGGGTGGGCATAGCCCAGTAGGAAAGTGGGAACCCAGCGCGTGGGCTTGATCTCCTGCACCAGCCCTGATTACTAAAAATCTTCCTCAAGGACACTTTGTTTCACAGAACTGTTTCATCATATAAATACATTTCCATGTGATGTCAAACATTTGCATACAATAAATAACTACAAACAGCCTCTGAAGCCCGTCAGCTGGTATGCTATCAGTGGATCCCAGATTAAGAATTGCTGGTCTAGTCAAATAACATCACTTGACAAATGAGAACACAAAGACAAAATGTACACATTAACCAGAGTTGGTTAATGACAATTCTAAGACTAGATACTAACTATTCTGGTTTCTACCTAATCCCATTACCTTGAAGAATGTGTGTGTGTGTGTGTGTGTGTGTGTGTGTGTATGTACACAAATTACATATAATTATTAATGACCTATAAAGGCCTAGTCCAATATTTCCTCAATGGATGGGACTTTTATTCATTTCTGAATGCTCTTGAATACAGTAATTCAGTATATCCTATTTGTTAGCACTGTTCTATGCACTCAACAACAACAACAAAAAAGCAGAGAACACTTTTTTTAAAAATATGGTTCAGAGCTAGACAGTAAAGTAGACAACAAAATAAGTAAGATGATGGATAATAAAAAGTATTTTAAAGAAAAATAGGAACTAGTAATCAAATTAGGCCCTAGTTGGAAGCCATATATTAGTTTGTGAAACATAAGCACTGCCTTCCTCGTTGATTGACATTACAGTAGTGATCTGAAGAATGATAAGTGTGTATAGTTGTAGGGAAAAGTCTAGGTAGAGAAAAATAGATATAATAAAGGCCAAACCATGTGTAAAGCTTTTTAAAATTAGTTGATTTATTTAATCAATTTATATTCTGATCACAGGCCCCACCCTCTCTCCATCTAGTCCCACCCTCACATTCCCCTCCCCCTACTCTCCCTTCCTCTTCTTCCCAGAGAAGAAAAGGACTCTGTGGGTACCAACCCACCCTGGTGCACAGGACTACGCACCCTCTCCCACTGAGGACAGACAACGGAACCCAGCTATGGGAAAGGGATCCAACGGCAGGCAACAGAAACAACACCCACTCCAAATGTTAGGGGACCCACATGAAGAACCAGCTGCACATCTGCTACACGTGTGTAAGGGGGCCTAGGTCCAGCCCATGCATGGTTTTTGGTTGGTGGTTCTGTCTCTGTGAGTACTAATGGGCCCAGGTTAGTTTACTCTCTAGATATTCTTATGGTGTCTTTGACCACAAGGACAGTTCAAGGGAGGTTGTTTGAATCTCACTAAGAGGGGGAAATAAAATAGACATTTTAAGTAGATGAAGTTAGGGAGCTGGGTAGGAGAGGGGGTGGGGGGAAAAACAGGGTGGAGATCAGGTATGGGGAGAGTGTGCTGGAGAGACAGAGTACTGGAAGAGAGAATGAAAATGGGGGGAGCTTCTCTGGGAGAGGGGAGACTCTCTGGAGTCTATGGGGGTGACCCTAAGTGAGGCTTCTAGCAGTAGGGGATATGGAGCCTGAAGTCACCACCCACCTCCAGTAGCCAGGTGGGAGTTCCAGTGGAGGGAGGGGTCACCAACCCACCCGTAAAAACTTCGCCAACCCCTGCCACTATCAGTGATCCTCTGCTCTGCGTGTGGACAAATCCTAGCATCACTGTGTTCTGAGAGGCTTCATCCAGCAGCTGATGGAAACAGATGCAGAGATCCACAGCCAAACAATAGGTGGAGTCCTGGGAATCTCCTGAAAGAGTGGGAGGAAGGACTGAGGGAACTGGAGGGGTCAAGGGCACGAGATGAATTAAGCTTTTGATGAAGAGCAAAACAGCCAATTCTTAAATAGGATGCAGGACACCATTGGGAAATGTAGAGAGGAGCAGAGGGCCATGTCCTAAGAAGACTTTGATTTTTCTCTCCTGGCAAGATGGAGGAGAGGTACAATCTGACACATTAGATGAGGTACCCCTCCTGTTTTACTACAATAATATAGTTATAATAAAGTTTAGGTTGGAAGCAAAGCAACCAAACCAAGAGGCCACC